CAGTCCATTCCCTATCAGCACATCAGTGTTGGCGGGATTAATATCAGCATCAAACGTTTAGACCTGGTCCATCCATACATTTCAGGCAATAAATTTTTTAAACTGAAATACAACCTGTTAGTGGCACAGCAACAAGGCTATAAAAAACTGCTGACTTTTGGTGGTGCCTATTCCAATCATATTGCCGCGACAGCCTATGCAGCGCAGTTATTGGGTTTTGAGAGTCTGGGCATTATTCGAGGTGAAGAGCTAGCTAGTAAAGCTTTGAATGCAACTTTAAGTACAGCACAGCAATTCGGCATGCAATTGCAATTTGTGACGCGAGAAGCCTATCGGCAAAAGCAAAGTTCAGCCTACTTAGCACAGTTACAACAAGATTATCCTGATTATTATGTGATTCCTGAAGGGGGCACCAATCCCCTTGCCATTCAAGGCTGTACAGAAATTCTCTCTGATGCGGATCGACAAAATTTCGATCTGATTTGCTGTGCCGTGGGTACAGGTGGCACCATTGCAGGTCTGATTGAAGCCAGTCATTCGCAGCAGCAAATTTTGGGCTTTTCCGCACTCAAAGGTGATTTTTTGAGTCGAGAGATAAAGCAACTGACTGAAAAAGAGAATTGGCAAATTACCGATCAATATTGCTGTGGCGGTTATGCCAAAACCACGGCTGAACTCCTGCAATTTATTCAAGACTTTGAGCAGCAATATGACATTCCACTGGAACAAATTTACACAGGCAAAATGCTGTTGGGCTTAACCGATTTAATTCAACAAGGTACATTCCCTGCAGATCATCGTATTTTGGTGATTCATTCAGGTGGGCTACAAGGTCGTTTAGCCGCGCTTTAGATAGTCCTGAAAAAGCAAAAAAGATGGTCTATAATGCCCTGCTTTATTCTCCCGTGAGTGTGTCATGTCCGCAAATCAATATGATGTCTTAGTTTTAGGTGCAGGTGCATCTGGCTTAATGACAGCCTATATGGCAGCTCAACGCGGACGTAAAGTGGTGGTGGTAGAAAAAGCCAATAAAGTCGGCAAAAAAATTCTCATGTCGGGTGGTGGTAAATGTAACTTTACCAATCTCTATGTCGAGCCAAGCAACTTTATTTCACATAATCCACACTTTGTGATTTCAGCCCTCACTCGCTATACCAATTGGGACTTTATTGGGATGGTTTGTGAGTACGGTATTGAATATGAAGAGCGTAAACACGGTCAGCTGTTCACCCTAAAAGGTGCCAAAGAAATTTTAGCCATGCTGTTGAGCGAGTGTGAAAAAACAGGTTTGGTCGACATTAAAACCAACTGTGAAGTGAAAACTATCACTGCCATAGATGAACAAGGTTTTCAAATTGCCACGACACTGGGGTATTTTGAAGCCGAATCTGTGGTCATTGCATCGGGTGGTTTATCTATTCCGACCTTAGGCGGCTCAGGGATTGGCTATGAAATTGCAAAACAATTTGGTCACCATGTATATCCAACTCGCGCAGGTTTGGTGCCTTTTACCTTTTCAGATAGCTTTAAAGAAGTGACCACACGCTTAAGTGGCAACGCGGTCGATGCGACTTTATCGAATGACTTAAACGCTTTCACCGAAGCCCTTTTATTTACCCATCGTGGGCTCAGTGGGCCAAGCTCGCTACAACTGTCGAATTATTGGGATGTAGGACAAAGCTTCAAAATTGACTTCTTGCCAAGTGTGGATTTGCACGACTACTTAAAAGCCAAGAAACACAGCCAACCCAAAGCCCTGCTTCGCACTTTACTGGGTGAACATTTCCCGAAAAGTGTGGTGGTTGAACTGCAAAACCTCATTTGGCCTGAACTGGCTGAAACAGCGATTGGCCAACTGTCGGATGAAAAACTGGAGCACATTGCAACGCGCTTGCATGCGTTTGAAGTCAAACCATCAGGAACCGAAGGCTACCGTACTGCTGAGGTCACTTTAGGTGGTGTAGATACCACTGAAGTGTCCTCGAAAACCATGGAAAGTAAAAAGCAAAAAGGCTTGTACTTTGTGGGTGAAATACTGGATGTCACAGGACATTTGGGCGGCTTTAACTTCCAATGGGCATGGTCATCTGCGCATGCCGCATCAGAATATGTCTAAGCCATGTGCTTAAACTATAAATTATTCCAAATAGTCCGTGCGTAGCAGTACGCACTGCTTTTGCTTCTGCTGACGGGCAAGCGCTAAGTCCATTTTCGCAATGGCAATATGGACATGGCTCGGCTGGATCACTGAACGTTTCGTCATCAAAGTTTTTTTTAATATTTGCATCATCTGTTTTTCCTTTTTAAACTGCAATTTATAAAAATAAATCGTGAAATTTCCATGCAGCTATCACAAAAGTATAGGCATGTAAGTATTTCTAATTTATGAAATATCCATATTCCACATGCATCAAACATACCAAATTAAATTTCATTCCACACTATAGACTTTTGTATTATTTTTCATCAGATTCATCCGCATCACGGCCTTCAGTTGCCGCAGTCGGTATTCTTTCAGCATTAGCGTGTGTTGTTGTATCGATCTTCGGTTTTGCAAATACAAATTTATAAGCACTCACAAAAAATCCAACCGTAATACCCGCGATGATGATTGGGGCAAAATATTTATTTGGGGCTTTTTTTGACATCGGTTTACTCCAATAAAAAAACACCAACCGCCATCAGCGGTCGGTGTTTAGTGTGATTAATTTAGTCTGGATCTTTGGGGTGAACGTCAATATCTTGTTCAGCTTCACCCGTTGAACCAAAAGGTTTATTTAAAGGTTTATGCGCAGGATCAACCTCTGCTGTAGTTGGAATATCATCTGCATGTTGATATTCCTCTGCAACCGTTGGTGTATCCATTTGCTCTTTCAGTGAGGCATGCTCTTCTTTGCCCTGTGCGGATTGCGTGCTTTCAGCTTTGGCCTGATAAAGTGGATTCGGTTGCGTACCTTCTTTTTTGGCTTTATCTAACAAATCGGTCAAAACCCGTTCCGCAGGTTGACGCCCACCGAGACCAAAAGCCAGTGCAAAAGCAATGGCAACCGCCCCAAGCGTTAAACCAAAGGCCAAGTTTACGATCGAATCTGCGATACCCATTGCACGCAAGCCCATCGCCAACACTAAGCCAATGATCAAGACACGAACAATGTTCGCCACCCAACGAGAGCTGTTGTATTCACCACGCTCAATCACTTGAGCAACCAAGTTCGCCAGCCAGAAGCCCACGCCCAGAATGACTGCACCCAACAGGATGTTTGCACCAAACTGGATAAACATCGCAATCAAACCACTGATCTGCTCAAAGCCGAGTCGATTTGCTGCTTCAGAAACTGCAAATAACATGGTAAAGAACACGATGAAGTAACCCACAACGCAAGATGCTTTGGTGTTCCCTAAGAAACGTTGCAAGCCAACTTTGCTTGGAATGTCATCTACACCTGTTCCCGACAAGACTTCAACCACAAGGCTTGCGACAAAACGTGACACCACATAGGCCAAGATTAAAATCAATGCCGCCGCAATAATGTGCGGAATCGCATTCATGATTTCATACAGCATGGCCGTCGCAGGTTGAGAAATTGCATCAATCCCTAAAGCTTCAAACGCAATAATCAGCGCTGTGATAATAACGATTGCAAAAACAAAAGATCCGAGCACTTTGGCCAAATCTGAGTTTTTAAACAGTCCTACTTTTTCAACCTGTTTTTGTACATCTAGGCTTCTCAATAAACCCTCAATAATGCCCCGTACAATTTTTGCCAGAATATAGCCCGCAAAAACAATTACACCCGCAATAAAGATATTTGGCAGATACAGTACGGCTTCATTGACCATATTTTGGATCGGAAAGAGCAGCCCAGTCAGACCAAGTATCGACAAAACAATCGGTAAAAATAGCAATAAAATCAGCCAATAGACAATTTCACTGATGTTTTGACTCAGCGTACTGACTCCGACATCCTGGCTGAGTTTTTCATCTAGCTGAGTCCGATCAAGTCCTTTTTGTAAACCCACTTTGACCAGATTTGCCACAATCCAGCCAATAAAACCCACAGCCACAGCAGCCAGCAGTTGTGGAATAAACAACAAGAACTGTTGAACCATATTACTAAATGGCCCACTTACACTGGTGAGATTGAGAACATTGAGTGCACCAATCACCGCAATAATCAAGATGAGCCAAAACACAACTCGAGAGATAATATTTTCAATATTTGAGCGATGGCCGGTAGCACTGGAAAGTTTTTGGTTGGTTCCGAGTTTGGTTAAAACCTTTTTCACAGCACCTGCAATCAATAATGCAATAATCCAACCAATGATCAGGATGGCGATTGCGGACAGGATCGGGTGAAACTGGTCCCAATAATACATCGCATCAAATCGACCCTGATGCCCTACATAATCATTCATTTTGTTCTCCCTCTTGTTATGTCTACATCACAGCGACCTTTGCTCAAATACAGATTTTAGTTTTGAAGTGATTGTCTGCCATGAGGTATGAATGAGAAATGGAATACCTTTTTGATGACTGCTAAAGAAAAAACCCCTGTACATTACAAGGGCTTTAGTCACATTTAGCGGTCAGTTGCAGTCGCCGTATTGCTATCGGTGGCTACCGCTTCGTCACCTGCTGTTGCAGTGGTGCTGTTATTCGGTGTTGCAGGCTCTGCACTCGGATTCGGATGTCCTGGAGGCGCCTCAGTCGGATTTGGCTTGGTATCTGCAAACATATAAAGTAATAATGCGATTAAGAAAATTCCGACCAATGCCAACATATACACGGGCACGCGTTTTTTCTTTTGCCGCTCCTCTGGCGTTTGTACATGGGGCGGTTTATTGAAATCATGTGTCATAGCTCCCCCTCAATTTTCTATTATCAAGTTGTCGAATTTTTATACTAACAACTGCTTGTGTAGCATTGTGTTTCAAAGCATAGTGAGATAGTAAACAAGCGCTTTATCTTAAGATAAATTATTATTTTATAAGGCTTTAAAAACAGTCATTCATCTGTCAATTCAGTGTTAAAAGTCATATAAAAAGTATTTCACCTAGGCATAGACAAAAAGAGTCTGGCGAACAGCGCTCTTCAACTGAATTTGCGCTATAATTATGCACCTTGTTTTAGCTGTTTTTGGACTTTATGGCATATCGTCAACAAAGTGTAACGCTTGATTTAGACACTGATGTTACGCACCAATGTCATTTGCACTACACGCGAGACCAACATCTTATTGGTATTATTGAATTTTCTAAGCCTAGTTATATTCTAAAATGGGGCGATCTGGAGTTTTTCCGTCGTCGTACTGAAGAGTTTTCAGTGATGCCTTTTCCTGAATGTGTCAATGCCATGATTATTGACATTCGAAATGTGCAAGCCTTTTTAGACAATGAAACACCCATCATTCCTTGGCGCTTACTGGAAGAGGAATGTCCTGTGCGTTTAGTTGTACCTCAAGACCGT